ACTAATTTGGTGACTGGCACGGTCGAATCGTGGGTGTTTCTTTACAGGACCGACTACGTTGTAATGTCTGACGCGGGAGGTTGATCTGCGGGAGCGCCGGGGACGACGCTCAAAAGAGGTGGGAGGCTACGTGATACGATGGTGGTTCATCCCTCGGTATTGGTGAGGCGCCACTTTTTTACTTCGAATTAGCCCTCTCGTACCTCGCTGAGTGGGCTGGCCTTCAGGCAATGCCAGTAGCCCAGACACCTTCTCCGTGCTGAGCATATATATTCTGCCCAAGTAGTGTGTCTTCTTTCGTCTTCAGGGAGTCTCGGGCCGCTACAATTGCGTGTTTCCAATTAAAAAAAGCTTATTTAAACCTGTTACAAATTATTAAAATTTAGTACTTTAATCATTATAATATTCCTCTTTGAAAACTCCAAAACACTTCTATACCTGTCACCACAAAAATAGGATGATATATGGTCCGTGAAAAAATGCAGACCAAATAAACCCAATTTAATGTTTGCGGAGTTAAGGGTTACTATGTAATACTTACGTTGTTTTAATGTACCTTTCAGGAAGGAGGCAACCTGGAAATTCGAATCTGGTGAGGGGGTCGTCGCCTTCCATGCCTAGTTGTGATTGTGGTCCTTTCCTTCTTTAAACATTGTACTTTTCCTCCCGATCTTTCCCTCTTAATAAAGATGTCAAAATCAAATCAACCGGGCTGTTCTAGGAATGCTACGAACGGGGTAGAGGAGACCGGTGAGTCTCGCCCTACAACTAAAGCGAATTTCCTCGGTTGGAAATCAAATCATTCGAGTTGCTGCTATCGCATTTTGATGTCTATATTAAAATTTGAAAGGCACGACACGAACGTGATAATTACTTCCACACCCTCACCTGACCTTTGCCACTGACTTGTAACTCATTTCTGCCGTATTACTAAGGTAACCATAGGGTTGTATGTACTTTAATTTGCAGCTAAATTAAAATTAGGATAAACCATCATATGGACAGATATAATGGCAAGGAAATGAAGTGCTTCTTTTAGTTACATCCCTTCGCGAAAAGGAGACGTATTTGTCTTTCCTCCCTGAATTGAATGCATTTTCTATTTTCAACTTGCATGCATTTCCAGAGTGCCAAGTCGAGCGTGAAATGAGATTCTTTGGAAATTAAGTGGAGACTCATATTTTTTGCACAAAAGCGATATATTTTACGAAAAGAACTGTACCCAACGTTTACATCAGATTTAGCGTTGTGTAGATGCAGATTCTCCGGTAACTTGCACTGTTCACTTTCAAAACGAAGTGATTTTTGTATGATTTTTAATGCGAACGGAGACATGCGAAGTATAGTCAACGAAATTGGACCCGTACTAATCTTCTTCGATATCAGCACTTAAAAGTATCTCTTCCCATAAAGCACTGCGAGCTATTGTGAAGAGGCAATCATCAGACAATCCGAAATCAAGACTAAGAAAAAATGCTTATGATAAATGTGATGAATGCTCAGCATCGTTAATTGGTTTTGGGAATCGACAAAAGAGGATGAAAACATAGATTGTGGATTTGACTAAGTTTGGCCGCTTGATGGCAAAAAACGTATAATTTGAAAGCTATGAATGTACCCTTACTTAAATGCTATTTCAGACTCATACACACTACGTATAATATAAAGTACAGTCTGAACTCCATTTGATTGGTTGATTTTGAATTCAACTCCAGATAAAGCGCAAATGCAATTAGGTGACAATTTTAAGCTCCAATTTATTGCAAAAAAGCTGTAGAAGCATTATTCATAAAATATTAACTGAGGTAGAACTATTCGCATAAAGGAAACAAAGTAGGCTCACATTGAAGGACTGCGCTGAATCACATACCCAAGCTACCAGTAACGCTGGATAGTCAAAAAGCCTGACAGATGCCGCTAAACACATAGCAGGCCATTCAGATAACACTTAAAGTAAATAGCCGCAAATCATCTGCTTGTGGTGTAAACGTCCACTCAAAAATCCGACCGCAACGTCGATGCAACACACTGGCATCAACTCCGGCTGTAAATATGGACTATGAAAATGCCATGGAGAGGGTCTACGGGAACGGCTTATTCTGCATAATTCTTACTCTGTGCTTGGCATCTTTCAGTTTTATTCTTGCCTATGAATATCAGTCAATCGTGTTTATGAATTTTTCACCGAAATTTACCTGTTCAGATGCACGAATCACGAATGCCTCGAGTGTTACCTGGATATCAAAAAGTAATTACTTCAAGCTTACTTCCAGTCAAAAATCCACACTTCCATTTTCAAACGACGGTGATGTGGAACAGTGCTACGCAGCGGTCAGTGATGCAGCAAAAAATGTGCGTGCCTTTGTTTGCACAAACTTCACCTTCGATGACTCCATGATGCGACTTACAATCATCACAGATCATGATCTGGTATGTGACAAGAGGATATGGGCGAATTGGCTAGTTGCTGCAACGATGATTGCGATCGCTGTGGGCCACTCTCTCGCCATTTTTACGGACCAATTTAGTCGACGGAGGGTTCTCATCTTTTACATGGTTATGGAAATTTTCTGGAGCTTGGTTACTCCTTTCTCTTCCAACCTTGTGGGGGTTTTCATTTTTCGAATCATGAGAATGCTATCTATTCCACTCTGCTATTACGCAACTGGCCTACTTTACGAACTACTTCCAGCAAGAAAACGAACTCTCTACGGAAATTTATACTGGATTCCATTTTGCTTGGGCTATATGTCAACAGCTGGACTGGCCTATCTGACAAGAGACTGGAAGGTATTTCGACTTTACGGACTTCTGGGTCTTGTCGGATACATTCCTCTCTTCTTTTTACTACCCGAATCCCCCCGATGGCTTATCCTCAATGGCAAGTACGAGGAGTACAAGAAGACACTGGCCACACTGGCTAGGTGGAATAGGGTGAAATTGTCAGAGGATTTTTTGGACGAAGCGGTTGGAATCGTGCGTTCCATAGATATGGTCACTTTGAAAGAACCAGTAGGGAAGCCTGAAACCCTAGTGGATGTATTCCGTTCAAAGAATGTGAGATGCATTTTTTTGGTGTTTTGCGCTCAACTTTCAGCTGTAAGTATTGGTTACTACGGTCTCTCAACCAATGCAGATTTTGCCTCAGATAACGTTTTCCTGAATGTATTTTATATGGGTCTCAGTGAAGCACCGTCTGGTTTTTTAGGATGGCTCCTATGTCACCTGTTCAGCCGACGTTGCAGCTTCATATTTGCTGCTGCTTTCGTTATCCCCTCTCTTCTAGTCGCGCCAATTTTACGACCCTTTTCTTCCCTTGCAAACACACTAATAATTAGCATCGGGAAGTTAATGTTGACTGTTGAATATAACATTTGCCTTCTCCATATGACTGAATTCTTTCCAACAACCGTGAGAAATATGGGCCTTTTTTTTGTGATGGCGTTTGGTTGCGCCATTTCTGGCTTGTCAACATTCATAAACGACCTCCATGTTATATACGCATATCTGCCTGGCATTGTCTATGCCGCAATGAATCTTATCGCCACCATTTTGACCTTTTTGTTCCTCCCGAATACAAAGGACTGCCCACTTGCCCAAACCATTAGTCAGGCTGAAAGGCTACGTCGAGGGAAGGAGGGGCAGTGGATTGCTTCCCTGAATTCTCAAAATGTATAAAATCACAACAGAAGGTATGACCTTTCACTACTTTTCATATCCCTCTTCTAGTATCCTTGAGTTCATGTTAATTTTCTTTTTGAGTCCCTTAAGTGTTAACACCCTTGTTCAAGCATGTCAAATTTTGCCATTTATGTATGTAACGCTGTGTTTGAACAGTCTAGATAAAACATCTGATCAAGAAAATAATATTTGTCTTGAGTTTGTTAAGTGGCATATTTTATTAAGATAACATTGATGGCAGATTTGGGGTATGGCCTTCTTTTAATAATCGCGACGACTGATAGTAGTCCATTTAAACGAATGTGGTTGGCTTTGACTTCATTAGTAATACAACTAGAGGCTGTGGTAGGTACTTCGTAAACCAAAAAATACTAGATAATAGCAGCCTTAATCTTGTCATATAGTTTTATTTTGGCAAGGTTCTCATGCTTTAAGTTGGCCTATGAAAGCTAGGGTGCTTCAGAGATTACCTCCATGGGCAATATAGTGCTTGCCTTCACGATGGGGCAACCGGAGTGCAAATCGAGAACCTTTGGGAATTCCAAAACCGAACGGATCCTTTCAAAAAGATAAAATTTGAGGGTTTTTTGTAGTTGTAGATACCTCTATCAGAGTACAAACAGATTTAGCTTGTAAATGCGGGTGATTGCAGAATATTTTCATATATTGTTTCTTTATACCTCACTTTTACCCCCATGGGATGCATCTGAGATGTGATTATTTGGAACGCCGGTTCATTTTCCACAATCAAAGGCAACTTTTTCCTCCCGAAGAAAATTTTTGAATCTGTTAGGTTTTTCAAATGTTCTGCATGACGTGAATTCAATATGTGTAATAGATCCGTACCACTTATGCGTTCAACAAATCATCAGATGAGGACTTAATAATTGTGTCCGGTACTAAAATACTGTGAAGTTACATTTTACTCAAATTTATGAGGCTGGTATGTAAGTATCTACCGTAGCTTTTGCTTAATGGGCATTAGCGAAAGGTTTTTGCGTAAAGTAACCGAAACAGCATTTCCCATTTGACATTGGTGTTGAGAATGACTAAGTTTCAAAGAAATAAATTTTCTCAAAGAAATGTATAAGAGAATACTTAAGATAAACATACAAAAGCATTTTAGCATTCTCCACTTTGTGATGATAATTTAGGTTTTTTGACTTGGCGTTAGAAGAAAGCTCTAGCATTTGGCAGATATTGCCCTTTATAGCATTTAATAAAAATACTTAGGAGTATTTATGGCAAATAGGGACGGTGGATACCTATTTTTCACCGTTAGGGGTGTCCAGAAATGACTGAAAAACTTGATAATCCTAAAATAGATTAACGATAGCTTTTCGGCGAATAACTTAAAGCCCTTAAAATTCTTCATATCAGATCCACGATCTGCTTGTATGACTGAATACTGTCTTCTTTCTATGTTTCAATGGCATTTTGGAATGGTTTTATTTGGGAAGTAGGTGATCAATGCATTCATATCGTGCAAATATCAAAATTGGTCACCTATTTAAAAACGCCTTTACTACAAAAACTCGTAAATATTGTATGGGTGTTGAGGTAATAGTCACTAATAAGTTGTAAAGCCATTGTTTAGTTAAAGTATTAATTGGATTGTTCCACAAAACTGTGTAAGCGTAAGCTAAGATGGTCCCTGGTTCGGCGCTTTTTGATTGGTGGGAATCCTATGCGGTCTTGATTATCACCCGCCCAAACTCTCACAATTCGGATTCAAAAAGTCATAGACTTCATTACTGGTTTCAACTCAGGACTAATTTTGTTGCAAGGAATATTGTTCATCTGTGGTTTATTGTTATTTTTGCCATCATAAAACTGTAATAAAACCTACCTACCTTTTACAGTTACTTCAGCGAATGAAATTTCTTTGACTAATTAAACGGTTGTGAAGACAGCTCGGGTGCTAAAATTTCTCCGAGGTGCGCGAAAGCTATATTGGAAAGATGTGCATAAGCGTTACGTTAACTATAATTCACGAAAATTTGCAGCAAAGCACGTTAGATACCTTTTTGAAAACAGCCCCACACATGCGCGACAATGCATTTATAATGTTGCCAAAAGCGTGAGTCCATTTGGTTCATTTCAAACGAGCTGCTATAAGCGTTTGCAAATGCAAAAACAACAGAGATTTAACCTTCCTTAACAGCACATAAAAGCAGTTTTCGAATTGCCAATCAAATACCCATGTTTAGGATAGCATAAATAGCGTCCCGAGACTCCCTGAAGACGAAAGAAGACAAAATACTCAGGCAAAATATATATTCAGCGCAGAGAAGGTGTCTGGGCTACTGGCACGGCCCGAAAGCCAGCCCACCCGGCTTGGTACAGGAGGGCTAATTCAAAGTAAGAAGGTGGCGCCTCACCAATACCGAGGGATAAACCACCATCGTATTACAATTGAATCAGTTCGACTCGTGTAGGGAATCTAACAGATGCTAATATAGACATAACTGTAGCGTCCCGAGACTTCCCAATACCGAGGGATGAACCACCATCGTATCACATAGCCTCCCACCTCTTTTGAGCGTCGTCCCCGGCGCTCCCGCAGATCAACCTCCCGCGTCAGACATTACAACGTAGTCGGTCCTGTAAAGAAACACCCACAAGCCGACCGTGCCAGTCACCAAATTAGC